CTGCGTTACAGCGTATAAGAATTGAGAGGTTACAAGATGAAGATGTGAAAGACAAGTACAAATGTAGACTGAGAGAAAATATAAGTGATTTGGATGAGTTGTGTGTGAATGAGTTAGACTTGGAGAATGTGTGGCATAATGTTAAGAAAGGTTTAGTGGATGCAGCTACCGAAGTATGTGGTGTTAGTAAGAGAACGAATGAAAGGAAAGACAATACGTTATGGTGGGATGATGAGGTACGTATGAAAGTTGAAGCAAAGAAGAGAGCATGGCTAGATTTACTAGCGACCAAAGCTGGTAATTCTGGCGGTAAGAATGTTGAGATTGAAAGAAAAAAGGCAGAGTTTAAACGTCTAAATAAGAGAGTAAAAGAATTAGTTGAAAGGAAAAAGCAAGAAAGAACGTATAAGAATGATAGAAGAATATCGGATAACTTCCAGGCAAATATTAAAATGTTCTGGAAACTCGTAAGAAATACCAGGGGACATTCAAAACAGCCTAGATTGAATGCGATACGAGACGAGAATGGCTGTATTCTGAATGATGAAGTGTTGAGTCTAAAGAGATGGAAGGAATATTTTGAAAGCCTATTTATGAGTGAGGAGACGTGTGAACTAAATGAAATAGAAATTCCGAAAGAAGATGAAAGAGATAGGGAGATAAGTATAGATGAAATAATGAAAGCAATGAAAAGCATGAAAGTAGGTAAGGCAGCCGGATATGATAGGGTTTCACTCGAAATGCTAAGGGCTGGAGAGGACGTGGTGGCAGGCCTGCTGTACACCTTGTTTAATTTATGTTGGGAACTAAAGCGGGTACCGGGAGACTGGTGCAAAGCCGTGATAGTCCCAATATATAAGGGAAAAGGGTCACAGCAGGACTGTAAAAACTACCGTGGTATCAGCCTTCTTAGCATTGTGGGAACACTGTATGCTAAGGTACTAATTGAAAGAGTTATGAAAGAAACTGATAAAAAAATTTGGGATGTGCAAGCGGGATTTAGAAAGGGAATGGGGTGTACAGATCAAGTCTTTTCCATGCGCATGATTGCGGAGAAGTTTTTGGGGAAAAACCAAAAAGTTTTTTGTGCGTTCATGGACTTGGAAAAGGCTTATGACAGAGTGGACAGGGATGTGTTATGGCAAACGCTGAACGCATTTAGGTTGAGCGCTGGTTTAATACAGGCATTAAAGTCTCTGTATTGGGACTCGAGTGCTTGTGTTAGAATCAACGGGGTCTACTCGGACTGGTTTGGCATCCATAAAGGTGTCAGACAGGGCTGCGTAGCTTCCCCGTGGCTGTTCAACCTATTTATGGACAGTTGTTTGGAAAATTTGAAAGTTGAAGAATGCGGGTTAAGAATGGGTGAGTTAACCATCAAATGCCTTTTGTACGCCGATGATCAAGTCATACTTGCGTCGTCGGCGGCCGAGTTGCAAATGATGGTTACATTAATGAACAGGTCATTAAAGGAAAGGGGAATGAAAGTGAACGCAAGTAAGACGAAAGTGATGGTTTTTGAAAGAGAAGAAAGCAAAACGGTATGTGAAATAAGAATAGAAGGAGAGTTAATTGAGCAAGTGGATGAGTTCGTATATTTCGCATGTGTATTCAGCAGGTGTGGGAGATATGATAAGGATATTGAACGACGAGTGAATGCAGGAAATAAAGTAAATGGGGCTCTACACTCTATTGTGAAAAGTCAGAATGTGTCAAAAAAGGCACGTATGGCAATTCACAATGCTGTATTAGTCCCTACTTTAACATATGGTAGTGAAAGTTGGGTGTGGCAGAAGAAGCACGAGAGTAGAATAAATGCAGTAGAAATGCGGTCGCTAAGGAGTATGTTAGGGCTGAATCTGAGTGACAGGGTGAGAAACTGTGTGATAAAAGAAGAGTGTGGTTTGCAAGATGATGCAGTGACCAGGATTAAGAAAGGAATGCTTCGGTGGTTTGGTCATGTAGAAAGAATGAATGCGGAAAGACTGACAAAGCCAATATATGTTGCAGAAGTGAATGAAAGAGTCGGAAAGGGACGTCCTAGGTGGAAGTTTGTCGACCAAATTGGCGATATACTAAAAATAGGCCAAATTAAGAGTACCCTTAACCGACGAGCGTGTATGCGTAGGTACTATATGGATTTGGAAAAGGCGAGAGAGGTATGTCAGGATCGTGCTAAATGGAAGTCTGTAATCTCTGCCTACCCCTCTGGGTGACAGGCGTGAGTGTTTATTTAATTCCGCGTACGACCTCTTTGTGGAATAGTTTACCACCGGCGATTTTTCCGGACCGATACGACCTAGGGACCTTCAAGCAAAGAGCTTACTCCTTTCTAAAGGGCCGGCAACGCACCTGAAATTCATCTGGTGGTGCGATTGATCATGGGCGGCGGTAGTCACTTAACATCAGGTGAGCCGCATGCTAGTTTGCACCCTCTTCTAATAAAAATAAAATAAAAGAAGGTTAGCCGATACTGCTGTACCAACCTTGAACTTGTGAGAGGTAATGTCTAGCTGTAATGATACCAATAGATTAAATAGTTTTATTATTAACCTTGACACCAATATTATTCTTCTTGAAAATATTTTAGAATTTCGACAAGTTTAGAATTATGACTTCTTATATTTACGCAAACACTACACATTAAATGAAACTAATTTTACGGATTTAACGCGTTAAATTTTGTCTTTTGATTCCCGACGTTTCGGGTGATTTACAGTCTGAACTTTAATGTCGCACTTTTGGAAAAATGCAGCACGTGCTGAGACGGCGCAGCACAAAAACAACCGTATCGAAGTAAACAGACTGTCAATCAAGGAAAATTAAACTAAAAAAACGTTTTTATTGTACCTTGGTCATCAATGAAATGAAAATTAAGCAGTTGATGAAAATACCATGCTAGCAGCCAAAGGCATTATGACTATGTCTACTACGGGTTTGATATTATATCCGAAAATTTCGGTGAAGCTACTGACACATTAGTGTCTTTATTACTCGGTTTAAACACAACGTAGAAAGTACCCACAGCCAACTTTTTTTATTAAATTTGAATTAAAATCTGAGTTTGATCAGGCTTTCAAAATTTGGCCACAATTATATTTACTAATAAAATCATAATTTTATATAACACTAAAAACCCCTTCACTGCTGGCCATGTGCGGAAGCTCAAAGTCACTCAGCGAGCTACGGAGACGGCTACGCTCGGGATTTTCTGCATGATAAACATAGAAATATGGATATTCACAGTAGAACCAGAGAGCCCGACATAGCCCAATGGAATAGTAAGCTGAAGTGATAATAGACCGGGCATATAGTTTGAAGAATCGACAACCGATGGGAGGAAATATTTTCTCGAGTGGCAGCCTAATAATTTTTGTAATTCTTAGTTTTCCAAAATGGTTACATGTTCCGTGAGTGACTGTGTTATTAATAATAGAAATAATCCTTATAATTGCACATTTCACAGGTAAACTCTCAAGACGTCGTCAATAACGCGTCTATTTTAGGGTAAAATACCTTTATGTTAAATACTGTTTAAAATATAGAATCTTTTCAATTCTTTGGTTAGCTTTGACATTTTGCAAAGAAATAAGTCACGTTGTTGATAATTTGCATGAATTTGGTAAATACAGTTTTTTACAAAATATTTTACAGGTACTATCAGATATTTATCTTGAATGCTTATTGCAGCATGCAGATGATATATGTTAGCGTTCTAAAATGTAATTTTATTTTGCCGTTTGTCAAACAGATTCCCTCCGGAATCTATTTATAGATTTCTTTATAGAATATCTATTATTAGAAAAAAATGGTTAAGTTTATTGGGCGGGTTGGTAGAAATCCAAAGAAGAATTCAAAAATTTGCGGCAAACATTTTCTTGAGAAGTATAAAAGAAAAAGTAGAATAAAACAATTTCATTAAAAGGAGCCATTTCTACATTATTTGTAACATTACATTAAAAGAGTGGAGTGAGGAGTACATAAGCTTGATTGTGGATATGGTCTCTCTTACATAGGTCAAACTAAAAGATTAATTAAAACACGCGTTAAAGAACATGTAGCTGATGTAAAGAATCGACGCTCCGGGAAGTCTGCCGTCTGTGAATACGTACAGGATCGCCCCCGTCACTACATCAGATTTGATGGACCACAAATCTTCGCTAAAGAACACCGATTCCTTCCAAGGATGATTCGCGAGGCTATTGAAATAAAAAAAAACATCTTAATTTCAATAGAGAAGATGGCTGGGCGCTACCATCTGCTTTGGATTCTATAATTAATTAAATTAAACCCCAACCCAAGCATACAACTACAAGACTTCAAGATACTATAAGTACATATTGTGTAGATCGGAACAAAAAATAATAATTTTAATCTGTAGTCACCGCGGTTAACTATGACATCTGGACGTTAAACATCTCAGTCTCCCCCGTGACCGTAATATACGCGATAAAATCCGAAAAAACTTATATTATTCTATAATAATTAAATAAAAATTAAATAAAAAAAATTAAGGACTTACAATTTGGCGTAAAGATCCGTCATATTGATTTAAAAAACCTACCTAAGAACACACGGGTGTTTGAGACGAATCACTGGAAAGAATATTTTTCTAAATAAGCGCACATTATCGATATTGAGTATAGTGCACAGCAATACGTCAAACCGCCATCTTTGTGCCAGACTCAGTTTAGGTATACACGTTTTTTTTGTAGGTATGTTATGTCCTTTATTTCTTCTCTAGTCAAAGCGTCAATATATTCTAAGTCTATGCGTCGTTCTATACATATTTTTTTCTTTTTTGTTTATAAAACGTTATGATTATATAATATACACTTTTTGGTCAACATAATTTCAAATCTACTACAAAGATTAGAATAGCTATAGCTAAGCAACGAAATTTGCTCATTTGTTTTTATTGTTGTCAAATTGACTGTCTTTTTCATCTATTTCAAAAGTTATACATTTTTAATTTGTGTAATTGAAATAAATTTTTTGCAATGGATACTGGCGAGCTTGCATGTGGTGATAAAAATAATATTCTTTCAATTTCACCAAGGCAAATGAAAGTGGACGAAAAAAAGGATGAAGCACTTGAGAACAGTTCAATTGATATTAACAACAGTGCTAAAGCAAATACAAAAACAATTAACCACAATGTTGTTACTCCAAAGTTAATTGAAGATAATGAAGTTAAATTAAAGGAAAGAATTGCTCAGTGCAGAAGTATCATTGAATCTTTAAAATGTGAGCTTAATAAAGAGAAGTTTAAACTAGAAAAGGAAAGTATACCATTTGAATCAGAAACATCTAAAACTAGTTCCCGGGTTCCAGCCTTTGATGACGAATTAAATTCAGATAGATACACAAAGGATTTATTACTTGAACGAAATTTATATACAAGCTGTATGGAAAGCAGATTAAATTACGATGAAAATATGGCTGAATATGAAAAGCAATTGCAACGTTACCAAAATACGCTTAATATGGCCCAGTTAGAGAAGAAAAATGCTATCAGGAAACAAATGCTTGCTAAGGCTTTCAACTTAAAGATTCTGGAAGTTGAAAATCAATGTAATATTGAATTGCTTCGTGTAAAACAAAGTCTCCAATGCTTAGAGCCATTACGAATGATAGCCAATAAATGGAAAACGAATGTTGATGATTCCTCTGATTTAAACACTTTTGAACTCATTCCTAGATATCCAGAGCTAAAGTCTAACGATGTAGTTGATGCTAACAGAACTGTGTGCGTCGATATGGAAAAGAAACTCACACTTGAAAATTTTAAAAATAACTTGGAAGATGTTGATATTCTTAATTCTCTAGATAGTTGAATTATAAAAGAATTTTTTTTTTGTTGTAACAATTTTTTAAGAAATTTTTTTTGATCATAAATTATACAATGTTATTGATATTCTCTGTAATATTTATATACTTGTAAAATAACAAGTGAGATGAAACCATCACTTAAGGAACTTTTATGAACGAACTTTAGGCACAAGGTCTAAACGAATGGGTACACGGGAAAACAGAAATTCTCCTGTACTAATAGTCGGTAAAAGGTGAAGTCGGTCATCACGGCCTATTTTTTCAACGTCATCTAAGATAAGAGAAAACTTTTACAGCTTATTTATACGTGTAAGGGCATCCACTGCATAAAGAGGGATCCCGCGCCGTGCCACACAACAGACGCTTATTCCTACTTTTTATTGCGAACATGATTCATCGAGGAATGCATAATAATCAGCTCGTACTTTAGGATATAGCAAATGTATTCTATAAAGAGAGAGAGATGCTTGTTTGATGCATGCTTGATTGCTCAATAATAAGTTACTCTGAACTGATATTTTAAATCGAGTGAGCAGCGCTCATATAAGCGGAACGTCCACTGCAAACTAAACTTAGTTTATCTCAGCTCGCAAGCTGAGTCAGTTTTTCATACATGTGCTTCCACCGCAAACTATGCCAGCTAAGCTAGGTAAATATAGACAAACTAAGTCAAACTAAGTTAGTTGTGTAGGCCGATCCGAAACTACGCGAACTAAGCTAAGGACCTCTCTCCCACTTACTAATACAGATACCTTTCGCTAGTGTTGTTTGTTTTGTGCAGGGCAGGGTGATCCATCTTTGTATGATAGCTGAGAAATCTGCACACAATCATGATTATGTCACACTCTTAAGACAGTACATACTACAAATAAATTTTTTGTACAACCTACTTTTTGATAAATATACCTAATTATGTAACTTAATCTGTTTCGTTTTAATATATATACACTTAACTCAAACAAATAGCTAATCTTTCTTCAGGCGATATAGTTTTTTTGATAATTGGTATCAATTTTAGTGATATCCTTGGCAATAATTAGTTTATCCAGTATCTGTGTTTGCGTTTTTTCTTTATGAAATGAGCAATAATCAATTTTATTTATCTATGACGAATGTAATCCAACTCCGAACTCTCGTCATAGCTCTTTTCTTGTTCCTCTATCACGTTGGATTAACTCAACACACCAGCACAAACCAGCCATTACTAACGTAGTTTTAGCTCATTTTTGGGTGGACGTGCAATGATTTTCCAGGTAAGTTTAGCTTAGTTCACTGAGGTTGGTTTTCACATAGTTTAGTTCGCGGTGGACGTTCGGCTGTATTTGTTTGAAATTAGCGGTTATTCCGTGTATATATCGACTGCATCGTTAGTTTAGTGGTCGTAAATGCCATTGCTGATCATGGGTTCGAATCCCGGGTTGGCCCAAAATCAATTATTGAAGTTTTTGTTAAGAAATTCTCAGTAGTAGCTCAGAGTTAGGTCGCCGTGACCAAAATTTGGTCTGGAGGACATTACTCGTATTATTCCGTGTATCCACCCTATGTTGGATACTCGATCAGATGTGTTAGCAAGAAACTGGGCGTTTTTTGTTTGCAAGCATTTCAAAAACTTTACTAATTTTATATGTTTATCTTTAACTTCATTTGAATTTGTTTTATGCCAAGATTTATTTATTTAAAATTTATTGAACCGTACATTAAGTACAGGATCAAAAGGCGGACTTAATGCTACTCGTAATAGCATTCTCTGCCAGTCAATCTTAGGGCAGTGATAGAACTACGAAGGCGGTTACAAAGAAATTAAATAAAAATATACAAATATATATATATATATATATATATATATATATATATATATATATATATAATACAAGATGTGTAAAGATACATAATATACTGATGAAATTAATATAGGTACTGAGACTACAACTATAATGATATAATGATGAAGGAGCTTGTGAAGGGGTATAAAGAGAGCATGAGTTTCCGATGAACGAAGATATCTGTCATGAGTGTCGCGCAGGAACTGAAACTTATGTTGCAGGTAATTCGGATAATGGTTATCAAATAAAATAGAAAAAACTTTGTGAAGTATCCAAATGTGTCTTCGCTGAAGAATTGGAAGCCATTTAAGCTGAGTGCGAAATGAGGACATATGATCAAACTTGAGAAGACGGAAAATAAAACGGATACAGTTATTGATGAGATGATCCAGCTTATCAAGGAAAACCTCATTAAGATCAGGAAAACATACATCAGCATAGTCAATAATGGGCAAAATAAGAGATTGCACCATAGTTATCTTTACCTTGACAGGAAGAAAGTTTCTAAGATGGTTCATAGCACTGAGCTTAGCAATAACGGAACCACCGATATTCTTAATTTGGGTGGACCAACATAAGGTTGTGTTAAAGTAGACACCTAGATTTTTAACGCTATTAGAATACGGTATGATAGAATTATCAAACGTGACAGACGGAACGCAACTGATGTCAAGCTTACACAATTGGTGAGCACTACCGATTTTTATAGCTTGGCATTTATTGGGGTTCACACTAATACCAAATTTGCGAGACCAATTGTGGAGTTTCGTTAAATCCATATTAAATCTGGCAAGAGCATCACATAAAGTTGACGTCTGCTTGAGTATATATTTCCAGGTTATCAACGTAAAGATGGTAAGAGCAGCTAGGGTGAGAAGAGAGAGAGAGAGAGAGAGAGAGAGTTAATAAAAATGGAAAACAGAAGTAGAGATAATATTCCACCCTGTGGCACGCCAGTTGAGAGTTGAAACCAGTCAGATATGTCACGGCCATTAACGACAGCTTGCTGGCGGCCACGAAGGTATGAAGTAAACCAGTCTACAGCAGTTGAGGAAATTTTGAGATTTTGAAGCAAAGCAAGAGGGATATCATGGTCAACCATATTGAACGCATTTATGAAATCAATCAATACTAGTACTGTGACCTTTCTATTCTCCATGCCCTCCCGAATGTCCTCTGTGACTTAAAAGTGCAGTGGTTGTGCTGTGTCCAGGCTGAAAGCCAGATTGAAACTGAGATAGCAAGTTATTTCTACAAATAAAGGCAGACAATTGTTGATGAACTACAGATTCAAGAAGATTGAATAAAATGGTAAAAAGATTTTTACCTTTTTATAGATAAAAAGGGTAAAATAGAAATAGGTCTAGTTGTTTAGTTGAGTGGGGTTTGCAAGTTTTGGAAGAGGGATAAAATAAGCTTTACACCAAGAAGCAGGATAGACCTCAGACAACAGGGAAAAATTGATTATGTGAGTTATGACTGGGAGGAAGTTTTCGAGAACAGAAGAGATTATGAGGCGACTCAAATTATTATAGCCCACTGTTTTGATTTACGAATTTCGTCGACAGAGACAAACGAGAAAAAAAAATGGTTGATGTTGAGATGTGGCCAAGGAAGTAATTTCTGAAATTGTAGAGGACTTAACGATTGTAAATAATGTAGAACCGGCTGAAAAATGGGAATTAAGGTCATTAAGCTTTGCATTAGCTTGCATCGGGGCATGGACGTCAAACAGTTTCAGAGTTAAATCAGTGAAAATAGAAATTCCAGTGAATTTGTGAGGCCCTCATTTTTTCAGCTCTTTAACAAGAAATATGTATTTATTTTTATAGGTATGCTAAAGTCTACTAAGTATATTGGGCCAGTTTTTATCAAGTTTTTATAAATAACTGTACACAGCTGAAGCAGAAAATCGGAAAAATATAATATACGAATTCCAATTATCCACATCGTTTGGGGTGGATAGATGGACACACACTTCCGACTATCTGCTTTAGGGTGGCTGATTTAGGAAGGATAAACGGAATAACCGAAATTAGCTACCACAACGTAGCAAGGCTTCTGAATTTTGATGAAACCGACACGCGCAATTATTTCAGCGCACGGGTTTCGATTAACGCAGCGGACGTACAACAGTCATCAGAATCGGGTGACAATAAATTATATTAAACGCATTTCTTTTATTTGATCACCAACAATTGATACATTATTACATTGAAGTAAATAAAATGTTTGGTAGGCTTATTTCTAAATTTACAATCACCTAAAGTACGCACAGTATGCTCATATATTTATAATTTGTATTATTTACATAATCAAAAAAATCCTGTAAGTGTACACTCATATATTGATAAAATTTAATATATATATAAAAAATTATATCTCTTCACGTCTTTACATAATTATATTTTTAATAATTTACTAATACTTCTTTGCACTTCATAACGCATAATGGCATATAAAGCCATAAGCCATTTTCTACAACATTTCGTTTAGGTTGAGCAGTAAATATACGAGTGCATAATAAGCCATAATGTCCAACTCGCCATGTAGTAGCGGCGTAAGAAAATCTAAAATCCTACTACTATCACATTAACAATAGTTTTGTAACTATCACATTAACAATATTTTTAACAATAGTTTTATTTAAAGTAATTTTTTATTAACAAATTTTTTATAAATTTTGAAGTAATGTAAGTCAATACATACCTTGTAGTTGCGGTATAAGAATATCCACTACCGTACAACGTGCACATACGGCTTAGAGATCTCTAGTCAGATCGTTAAGCCAATTCCTAAAAGGTTGGGTTTAGTGGGTAAAAGTCACCACATAACCACGCAGCCGGCTGCGTGGTATGCTATGAGCATTCCCAACCTCCCTCCCCCGCTTTCCGGAGGGTTGCCCATATTTGCTTCGGGCGCAAAAAAAAAAAACAACGTGCAGTGGGTGCAATGAGAGGTAACAGCTAGAAACCAACCAAGAGATGGGCAACAATGCGGTTGCCATCCCGCCTGTCAAGCATTGCAACTATGGTAAATATCCAACCTATGAGGTTGTCTGAGGGGGAGGCCTTTGTGCAGCAGTGGGCTTGTTGGTGTTTTTGATAGGCTGTAAATGAAAGAAAAATTAACGAATATATGGTAATGCCGAGGAGTAGCGGTATAAGAGAATCAACTGGTTA